GAGATCCAGGTGAGACTTATTCAGCAACGTCACGACACACGTCACGGTGAACAAACGAAGAATTCCCGGCGGCACCACGTGTTTTTTTTCTCAATGAACCCTCTCTGCGCCGATTATATTTTAATAACGCCGCGCTGCACGGAGTAGATCGAATTAAAAAGGGCCAACAACACTAATCAATTCGGATCTTTCTCTCTCTCTCTCTCTCTCTCTCTCGGCAATAGCGACGCTGCAACGGCGTTATTTATGGGCTTTTCATATCCGAGCGATACAAATAGTTCGCTGCAATTTTTATCAGCTATATTTTTCTACACGAGCGATGTTAAGTATACTCTCTTGGTGTATTATAGCACGAAAGATATATTTTCCTACGTGTCTCAAGTATAGACTTGACTCACGCGTTGAAACTACCTTTGAAAAATCAATTCTGTTATTTTATCTCGCTGAGAAATTTTCTCTCCACACGGGGGAAAAAAACTTAGTTGAATTAATGTGACAACACAGAGAAGAAGGTTTCTTTGGAATTAGTATAAATATTCGTTTGAGTTTGTTTAATAAAAACAACATAATTATGATCAAATATTATTTTGTTTAAACAAAAATATTGTTGCTTCACTAGAGTAAGCCGTCTCGTTTGATGGAAAAAGAAAACAGTATTGTTTAGAGAAAATAATATCTGGCTTGCAGTAAAAAAATTGATTTCATTATATTAGATGCAAAAGTTCGTATTTCTAAGCTCGTTCGTAAGCTCTATTTCAAAACACAAGTTTGTTTCAGTTAAAGAAATTTAATTAAATAAAGACATCTTTTCCTCCGTGAATGAACAAGTGAAACACGTTTTAGTCGAAGGAAATAGAACTTCTGGTTCTCAGACGACTGAATTTGATTCGTGAGAAACAAAAATTCTGTCTCCTTCAATCAAAGCGCGTCTGGCTCGTTCATTATCACGTTAAATCAATCAAACATTTTACTTCGTGCGATATTTTTAATATGTCTAAAAATATATCTCCATTCGAGGTATTTAATTTTCGTGGGAGCTTGTAAAGATTTTCGTCTCGGACTTGCCGTTTAATCGCGACGCGACGCTCTTACGCGCGCAGCTGTGGCCGAAAAAAAATTATGCCGAGCGATTTTCACTGTATATCCGCGCGGTCGCCGATCGATCAGCATTTTTTATGCGAAAGGACGCACATGACGTGACGCGGAAAAAAATTTGCATGCGTCGACACCTTGCAGCGCGTCGCGTCGCGTCGAGAACTATCGAAAAGTCATCGGATCGGCATTAGACGTGCGCTTTGCAAGCGCAAGTCGCGCCGCGCTTGTCGAACTTTGCATGATCGATGGGCTCGCGCCAAATTGTCTCACCACGAGCGTGACGCCCGTCGATATCTCACGTGAACGTCGATAACCACGGAACGTCATCCATTGTCATGACTTTTCAATGGTCGGCTCTTAGAATATCTTTTTCACAGCCGGATTTTGAAAACTCAATGTTTTACCAGATAATTCTCGACGCGAGTGTTGAACAAAAGCAATAAATTTTGTTCTTTACGCATTTTAATTGAATATTTATTAATCCCTCGCGTTGGAATTAGAGTTGTTACTTTCAGCAACTTTGAAGTTAACGTCGAAGCTTTGAAAAATATATATTCGTACGAACGGTGAGTTTATATATGGGAAAAAAATGTAAATAAAAATATATAAGATATATAATGTTAGAATTTTTAAGAAAAAGATATGAGATAATGTATTATATTAGATTTTCCTCAAGCACGATGAAGTAATTCTTTCTATTGTGTCAAATTTCTGTTGAATCGATTGAGGAAGATTTCTGATGTCAATACCGAAAAATAATTTCGTTTTCCCCGTTCATCGCCGTCTTTCCGCTTCCTCTGCCCTCTCTTACTCGTTCGGCGCAGTTTGTTTGGAGAAGAAAGAGAGAGAGAGAAAGAGAGAGGTCGGAAAATCTGACTGCCCGACTCACCCCCGTTGTAACTCTTGACGCAACGCGACATATGTTACGTGCGTGCGTGGACGACGCGACACGACACGCGCGTTCGTGCAAACAGGGTTAAATAATACGCCCCGTGTAATTGCACACCGGCGCACCATGCGTGGCTACAATATGCTGAGGTGACTTCACGGGGGTGGAGGAGAGTTTAACGAAAAAAAGGAAAACAAAAGGAATAGAAAACTGGCCGATTCTACTTTGTTCTTCCGCCGTCGTCCTTTCTGCCTGGGGCGCTCGAGTTGCTCCTTTTATTCCTCTAGTCTTTATTATCTAACCATGATTAGGAGGATCGGATTAGAATGTATTTTCTTCAACTTATAATATTATGTGTAAACAGCTAAATTTTTTCGCCCACGGTATAAGGAAAAAAATTAGATCGGTTGGAAGATCGACACACCGAAAGAAATGCTGCCGTTCAGGTATTATTGACATGGTCCTCAAGTAAAATGATCAACTCCAATATACTCCTTGACAAATATTTACTGAAAATAAAAATATAATTAATACATATGCAATATATTTTGTCCGTATAAGTAGACATTTCCTGGCAATTAGTATCCCCCTAACTAAACGTTTCGCCGTCCATGTAGCAATTGACAAATTTTGTCGCGGCGGCAGATTGTTTTTCTTTCCCTTCACAGCACCTTTTCTCGTTTACTGTTCGCTGCGAAACTTATTATACCGTCAGCAGCACCAAAGCATTAACACGCGCCCAGTTATTCGATCGCTTTCCCCGGAATACAATGTCGTCCTTGTGAGAAAGTCAGATCGGGGCTGATTAATTTTTACTTAAGCGTTACGTAGCAATTTGCATCGGTGATCAGGCGCTTCATGCAAAAAACCGCTCGAAGTCGTCCGATTGCTACTCGCGAAGCGGCAACACCCGCCCCTCCTCCATCCGACGAAGGAGTCAGATTGACCAGCGAGGGTTATTGTCGCGGCGGTCATCGGGTAATAAAAATGTTATGACAGGCCGAGGCGCTCGCGTGTCCGAGGGTTTCGCCGTGGCGGAGCGAGGCTACTACTATCAAGAAGTCAACCCCTCTTCCGAGAGGTTAGCCGGAGAGGAAAAGAGACGGAGGTAAGTGCGTATACGTGCGGTCGGGTGCGAGGGTGCGGCGAAATTGTGGCATCATCCGCGCGTCAGAACTCCTTTAGCCTGCGGCGGCGGCGTCATCGTCGGCGGCGGCGGCGGCGGTGGGAGGCAATGGTCGGCGAGGACGGTGGTGGTTGGTGGTTCACCGCCTTCGGACGCCTGGGCGATGCTCTCCACGTCGAGGTCGCTGCATTATTGAGCCTGGGAAGCGACCAGGTGGTCGCCCATCGGGTCCGCGAGGAGGAGGGTGCAGGAAGAAGACGGGTTAGAGGCGGATAGCCCTGAGGGCCTCGCGAGGAGACGGAAAGTCACGGGAAAGAGGGTCCGCGATATGCCGCCGACGACGACGACTACGCCGCCGCCGCGAGGTCGTTCGCGAGGACACGCGACCTCCTGGCTCCTCGACTTTGTGACCGCGGGGGTGACTACGCTCCTCGCTTCGATTTTGACCCTCGGCCATTGCTACGGTCTGCGCTCGCGAGGAGGCAGTGGCTATCACCTCGAGCCGGAGAGGGCCGCGCACCACCTTCCGGCTCGCTTCCTGCGCGTCGTGTTTCTTTAATACGCGCGTAGCCCGAATCGGGCGTGGCGCGAGTATCGCGATATTTCTGCCTCTCCACCCTTGACTTTCCCTGCGATTCTGGCGAGGCGGAAAATGCTAATACTTCCTTCCCGCCTTCATTGCGCTTCTCTCAACGTCCGGCGCCGATTTTCTGCTTGGTAGAAGGCCTGTACAATTGATTCAGTTAAATTAAAAGTGATCTAAACCAAAACTGACTAAGTTGAGTTAAAATTAAACTTGACTTATTAAAGTTGAAATTTAACTGTGCAAAACTATATACGTACATATTTCAGAAGAAGACATAGTTTGGTTAAGTTTATATATATATATATATATATGTAGTCTCGCATAATTAACTTTTATAATTTCTAACTTAATTTACCCAATGGTAAGCCCAACCTGACTAAATATAAAGAAGCCGTTTTCTCCGCTCTCGCTCGTCAAAGTGGGGAGACGATAGCGTGATCGATCGCTCGCGAAATCGGCAGTCCCGTCTCGAAACAGTCCCTCGAAACATCTCAGCCCGTAATCGAACAACGACGATTGTCGAAATCGATTGTCGCAGGCGCCGACGTTTAGCGATGCCGGGTATTGCATTACACGTCGTGCAATATGCAAGCGCCCCTCTCGAGGCGCGCGCGGGTTATAGCCTGCGGCGTGGCGAAGTCGCAAATCGCACACGACACAGATAATGAGGAGAGAGCGCGATGTCTCTCCTTCAGGCGCACACTTCTGGTCTAGTCGCGGCGACGTGCATGCATAATTCAGCGGAGCCGCTCGTAGTTACGTCAGTGATCCACCGCGATTACCCCGAGAGCTTCCCGCTTCAATCGTCGACGATGCGCGTCGCCGCCTCGTCATCCACTGTAGAGCTGCTTCTTCTTCGTCGCGCCTTTACTTCTTCGTCTTTGTCCTCACGCTTGAGCGAAACGCGTCGAGCGTCGCTGCGCCGCGGAATTTTAGCGCGAGAGGCGACTGTTCGATGCGGAATGGATTTCCCTCGGTCTGACGCGGCTTGACGAAAGGGTTGCCGAAGGATAAGCGAGAACGCTTGTGACACCGCGTCTTGCGTTACTCCCATCTCCCCTCTCTCGTGACTGTATAGTCACGAAGTGCACGATAAGAAATTTGGCGTTACAAACGACCCACCCATATTTCGGTGTTGCTTCAACCTGGGAATAGTTGATTTTTCGTCAATTATTACCTGGAGTCATCTTACACTGACACGCGTATTTATGTCACCAATTTAGGCGCTAATAAATTGCTCGATGGTGTGCGAAATATATACTTTTCACGGGATCGATTTTCACTGTGTAAGCAGGTTCGCCGGGATGGAGGAGAACGGCCGCGGGGAGACGCTCTGCAAGGTCTGCGGGGACAAGGCTTCGGGAAAGCACTACGGGGTGCCCAGCTGCGACGGATGCCGCGGCTTCTTCAAGCGGTCGATCCGCAGGTACGCGAGGTAATTAACTTCAGGTCTAATTAAACCGTCGCGACATCGAAGCGTAAACCTAGTCCCGCAATATTTGCCGTCTTATCCGATTGACTTGAGATACTTATAATCCGGAGGAATGATTAAGACAGAGGATAGTTTAGCGAGACTGGAGGGGATCGCTTGAGGACTCTCGAGATTGTTCGTATGCGTTGTGTGCAGAAATCTGGACTACGTGTGCAAGGAGAACGGGCGTTGCATCGTGGACGTGTCGCGGCGCAACCAGTGCCAAGCCTGCCGCTTCACGAAGTGCCTTCAGGTCAACATGAAACGCGACGGTAATGTTCCGTTCGGTAATGCGATTGCAAGGACTCGGAAATTATCCGTCCGTTAATAATATTATTATTGATTTATTATTGATTGTGATAATTTAAGACACGATCGTCGAAAGAATGCCGCACGCGCACTTTTATCCTTGAATTACTTTTATCATTTAAGATTCTCTTTAGTGTAATTGATCTCCGCTAGAATGGAATTTCGCCGGCATTTTTATTTTTATTTTCTTATTTTATATTCTGTATTGCTCAAACGGTGGTTTTAATATTAACGAATTGTTTTAACTTATATAAAAAGAAATTAATGAATTAGTGCGTTAATACATTTTAAAATGAAAGTTAAATAATTTGAAATTAACTAGGTTAAGTTAAAAGTTATTAACTTTGAGCTTTTTAATTTGATTTTTCACTGAGTAACAAGTGGAAATTACGATGGAATTTTCGACAAAGGAATTTACGTATCTTTTTAAGGTAGGAGGAATATATTTAATTCATTCATTGACTTTTCTCTCTCTCCCTCTCTCTCTCTCTATCTTTTTTTAAAACTTTTACCTTCACAGAAAAAGTTATGCGGAAATATAAAATATAAATAGAGGAAAGATACGTATATAGATTGTAGCGCGCTTGCGATTGCTGGAGCCGCACTCGACGTGTTTGCGCGGAAATATCCAGCGGAGTGGCTAAGCGAGAGACGCGTTCCGTTTTCTGACAGTCGCAGATCCTCCCAGAGGATGACAAGTCGAACCGTAACGGAGTCAAAACGTTTCTTCAACGCTCGATTGCGGCACGAACGTTAGCCAGTCCTTTTTGCGCCGCTTCCGAAGCGATTTGCTATTCCTCTCTTCCCGAGCGTGTGAAAATCGAAGCGCCGCTTGTGAAAACGCGCAACATCTAATTTCCATTCACAAATTGTGTCCATCTTGAGTTTTAATTTTTTCTATTTATGTTTATGTGTTGAAACAGAAAATGACAATAAAAAATATTAATTACTTCAAGAAATATTGGCTATATATTAATTTTTGTAAAATAATAATATGGAAAACATAAAAATACTGGAACATATTTTTGTTATAGTTTTTTATTTTTACATTTCATACTGTTAGAAAAACTAAAATTCCTCCTAAGTATTACATCATTACATCAATATCATGTATGTGTAATATATATATTATATCTGTGATTAACGCAACCGTAAAATTAACTAGAATTATCGGTTTAAATCCAGGATACGATTTTTATGTTGATCAGTGTTATTAACATTCCACGTGTAAGGCGGTCATGTCATCTCCCGTCGATAGCCAGAAGATAATCGTTGCGACAGAGAGCTTTCAGAGAGATAGATAGATAGAGAGAGAGAGAGAGAGAGAGAGAATGAAAGGAGGGGGAAGGAGCTCGCAGAAAATAGAATATATCCGCGAAGTGTCGTTGGTTGAATATTACAATGCATGGTGACGCGTTTGGAGGGGAAACGGCTCGGAAAAAGCGCGGTGTTCACCACACATACACGTGCCACGTCCGCATGAAACTCTATATTTCTGCTTACCGAACGGCAGGATCCGATGGCGAGCGGTGTCAGAAGCAGCCTGGCGTTCACAGCTTTTGTAAACACCTTTGGCCCCCTTACGCGTCGAGCGATAATCCAAACACTTGATTGCTGAGATATCAATTAGCGAGGGCGGAGAGGCGGGGAGGACGGTGCCGTTAAAGGGCCGCTGCACTCCCTCGGGTCTCTCTTGTCGCCGTGTATCTTGTACACGTGCAATCGTACGGCGCAATAAGTTGTTGCTGTTGCCAACGCTGCTCCCGGGATGTTCGAGATTGCCCCTTAGAATTTTGATTTCCGAATGTCCGATGATCTCTCCTCCATTTATGCGTCCACATATTTATCGATCCATTAGCGGAACGTTGCAATTCATAATATCTATATCGATTTGATTCTGAATTTTTCTTTTTTACCACAATATTATTATGATTCTTTATTCATTCTTTTTATCCTTTATCTACCCTTTATTATCCTGACTGTCATATTCTGTTTTTTAGCTGCGCTACCCTTGTAATTCCTTTTGCTTGTTATAAAGTAATAATAAGAGAAATATCGATGTACCGTTTTATATTTCTAAAAAATGCTACTGTATCGATAGAATTGGCTAAGTTCAATAGACTTTTCGTGGTGGAACGATCACATGGAATGTTAACGTTTAGCGTCGTTTTTAGCTGTGCAGCACGAGAGAGCACCGAGGAGTACGTCTTCTCTGGTCGCGGCGGCGAGGAGGGCGCCTTCAGGACTGTACACAGGCATTCCTAACGTCTATCATCCCGCGGGCAGTGCCTATCATCCTCTCCTGTACCCCGCGTTATTTCCTTTCAAGCCCACGGTGCCGACATTCACCCCGTCAGTCGGTGAGCAGTGAATAGTAAAATTGGCATGTGCATAAAAATCGATCGAGCCGATGTATTTCCTCTATACGACAAAATCTCGCGTTGATTTGGCTTCAGCGCACTTCTTGCCACGACCGCCCGCGGAATCCTTGTCCATGACTACCGGTAAGGAGGACGAGGTTACCAGTTCCGAGGAGGCCAGTACCGTGGACATCAGAATCGAGCCGAAAGGTACGAATCACTTTCAATTACTGATGATAATTGGTTTTCCTCTCGTCGTTCGTGCGATCGCCAGCCTCGTAAATTTCCATCGATACCGATGAGAATCTCGAATCGTAAAACCGAAATTGCTCTTTTTATCTTCTGTTAATACATTGAAACGAATTATCTTTTTTTCTTCTCGACTTGCCTTGCAGAGGAACTAGTGAGCACTCGTTTGGCGCCGCCGGTCATCACATCCGTCCCGTCGGAATACACCGTGCAAGGCTTGTCCTTGCTGCCGACCGAGAATATCTACGAGTTCGCGGCCAAGTTGCTTTTCTTCGCCGTGAGGTGGGCGAGAAGTATACACTCCTTTCTGCAGGTAAGTTCCAATCAAGAATTCCTTCTTTGACGGGGTAGCCCTAAAATATAGCAAACGGGAGATTAGATTTTCCACGATAATTCTACAATTCGCCTCGTGCACATTTTTTATTTCTCGACTCGTTCGGATTCAGAATAAAAGTTTTTAATCGGGAAAATTCAATTAGAATAATACAATAGCGGAGGAGAAGGTAGTATTATAGCTGTCGGTAGGTATTATGGCCCCTCTTAGTATCTTCACTATTAGGTGTCGAATTCGAGTGATTATTTATGAGATCATTTATTTAGTAGCCCATTGTCACGTGGTGATGTTAATATATCAATAGACAACAGCCGACCTAATTTCCCCGGTATACTTCGCTCGAAGATACATTGTCGTTGTCTCTCTTGCAAGCTCCCTTACAGAGACCAGACTATCCTTCTGGAGGAATCGTGGAGCGAGCTATTCGTGCTGACAGCGGCGCAATGGAACTTCTCCGTGGACGAGACCACCTTAGTACCGGTAGACCTGCCGTTGGAACGAAGGGAGATTCTAGTTGACAAAGCGAGGAGGCTGAGGGAACTCTTAGCGAAATGCGCCGCCTTGAGAGTCGATCATTCCGAGTACGCGTGCTTGAAAGCCATAGTTCTCTTCAAGGCAGGTGAGAGACGCTGTCTGTCTCCCGATATCCTTCCTTTGATCCTTCGAATCCCCCTTCGTATTATAAATTTCAACCGCTCGCGGAAACGTTGGTGAACCGAACGATCGTTCGATTCGCCCAACTTATTGACACCTTGCGGTCTCACTTTGTTCTGAGGAATCTCAAAAACAGTAAAAAAAACACACACAAACACACAGCAAAGAACATTTTGTATTTGATATTTGTACTTGTATTAAAATCAGTCTTTGTGTTCAATATTCAACATGTGTCAGTTAAGATAACACATTTTATGATGTCGATTAATGCGTTTAATCGTATTCAATGTTAACGCTTTAGACGTGTGGATTGTTGATTTGTGTTAATCGTTGACAAAATTATTTATGTCATTTTTCAACATATTTACCTTGCGTTAACCCTTTGGCCTACAACCACTGTGAGGCTCGTGGTCGTGTTTTCGAGCCAAAAATGACTATCACGGGCCTGGCCCGTGGTACATCCGCCGGGCCAAATGTAAACACCACGTGTCAACGTGGAATGGCTCGAAGGCTCGGCAGTTTTGTTTTGGGACCGCGCTGTCGAATCTTAAATCGTAGGGCAAGGGGTTAACATATAAATTGACGGCAAAATTTGAGCGGACCGTCTGTGGGACATGAAGTGTGTTTAACGCAAAGTTTTTTACTGCTCGCGTTCTACGTTTGTCGAGTGCACCCTTCGATTGGCCGTAGAATCGCGAGGACTTTGCGAGCCGGGTCGGGTGTCGGCGCTGCAGGAGCAGACGGTGGCGGTGTTCTGCGAGAGGGATGCACGCAGGGTGGGTCGATTGCTGTTGCTTTTACCACCGGCGCGTGCCCTCTGCCGCGCAACCCTGCACGAATTGCTGTTCAAGCCGACGGTCGGCGACGTCAGCGTGGAGCGACTGTTGGGCGATATGGTCGGCGCCCTCAGGCCCGCCTAACTGTCGGTGCAAGTGCGCCTCTGAGGATTTCCCATGCGTGTGTTTTATCGACGCGCGTTTACCGGCGAAGCGAACTCGAGCGGGCTCGGCGGCTCGATCATCCAGGGCTGGTCCTGTTGAGATAAGTACCGATACTTTCGTGCAGTTTGACACTTCGTCAAAATGAGAAGTATCTGATTATATATATAATATAATTGAAAAGAAAAGTATCGCGGAGTATTAAGGAAAATACCGGGGGTAAAGTTGATAAATGAGACAATAGAAAATACAATAGGAAGTGTGGATGGAATAGAAAGTCACGATGACGTCGAAATGACTAGAGAAAATGATGACGAAAGCTCTCGATCATAATTTGATTGTTTTCTCGTCACTTTGGAATTATCGATTTTCCGTTCTATCAGGCATAAGCGAAAGTTATAAGAAAAAGAAGAAAACACACACACGTGGACGCTCGCACGAAAATGAAACGAAAGAAAAATAAATTTCGCTGTTCTAGCGAAACCATCGTTGCTACTGCGTATTCGTTGCGACAGCAGTAAAATTTAGTTGGTATGAACAAATTAGCGAATTATTCGTAATTAGAATAGAAACAGTCTCGTCGAATTACGGCGCGCCGTGTTCGTGCGGATAAATCGCGTAACCGATGATAAGGACGGACAGGGTAAAGAGCAGACCCTGCCGTAAAACGAGTTTTCACGATGCAACGATGCAAATTTGCACAATTTCGTCAGTTTCGTTTATTAAACGCATCGATTCGCGAGAGATAGATAGAATTGTTGTCGTTCGTGTGCTTGAATGTCAATCGGCGTCGATTCTGTACAATGTGCATGCAATACTATATATTGACGGGCTTTGCGCAATGTAATATTTACGCACCTTAATTGGATACGTGTATATACGGCTGTACTAGATATAAATGATACTCTCACTCTCTCTTTCTCTCTGCCGCGGACTCTGTCTGTATAATGTGTCGTAGAATGAATGTAACGTGTATTAAAGAAGCAGGAATCGATGTTCGCGGTAATTAATTAACTGATCGATCGAGAGTTTCGTCCGTTCATCAGACAGATACGTTCGGAAGCCGAGAAACGATCATCATCAGTATTATATACTCTCGCTGTTATCTCCGTTATGTATAGTGTTAATCCATTGCGCTAATCGGTGGAGAATCATGGCGACATTGTTCCTACAAGTAACTCGTCACGATGATTGAAATAGAATAAATCTCCTCAGGAAAGACACCGTGGGCTTCTCCTTTCATCGAAATAATTCCTCCGTACGAAAAAAATGCGTTTGACCGGCGCGATTCTCTCGTGTGGTCGCTCAAGATGCTAGTTTGGTCACAAGATATGTTCCACTGTAAAAGGAAACTTTTAATTTAATTTACTCATTAATTTCACTTAAGGGGGATTCTCGAGTTTGTACGCTTCAAATAATCGGGTTTTTTTGTTCCTTGCATTTTCTTCAAGATTAAAGTCTTCGGAATATTTATAAATACAAATTGAGAATTTTTTTTTTTTTACTTGGTTCATCATGTCTGTATAACTGCAGGAAACTTGCCAATCGTTCGGACATAAATTTCCGAGGCGCTATGTTGCGACGGCTTGTGATTCGACAACGAGACAATATATAGCCTCGAAAAAATCAAGTTACTGTGGAAAATATAAATAAATACACTCACAAAATTTTAAAGCGATTGGAGTAGTAGTTTCTTAAAAAGAAATAAACTCCGAAAAACACCTATTTTTCAGACCTACCACCAAGGAAATCAGGGAACCCTCTTAACGAGAAAAAATCCCTTGACGTACAGACGTACTTTGCCGAACCGTTCCGATAATTTATTTTGAATCTGACGTTTGAACTTCCTTTTCACGAATTATCAGTAAGATATTCCTAAATAAATATTGTTTTCAAGAACAGAAAAGAAATGATCACACCGAAATCGAAACACGGTCGTTGACACAATCAGCATCGACGACGGAAGAATCATGATGGCGGGGGGACAACACACACACACTCACAGACCTTTTTTTATTAACTAGAATAATTTATTTTTCTCATGGTAGAAAAAGGAGAATGTATCTTAACTCACGAACTGCATTGTACTCATATATATACAATTACATACAATCCTCAATTGAACGTTACACATAAACTCATTACACATCGATTTCTCATTACTTCTTTGTCCTCGTGAATCGACCCGAAAGAAAGAACTGCTCGCTACATTATCCGAAAATACGATTTTCGCCGTGGTCCGGTTGTTGGCAGGGTGGGAAATAAAAAACAAAAAACGGCTTCGAGTGCGAATGTGGTGTTGTCGTGTGTGGTGTCGTTGGTGGCGTGAATTTTTTTTCGTCAGCTCTTTTTCTGCGCGTGGACTGAGAGAAAGGAGACAGGGAGACAGTGGGATTGTGTGTGGGTTCTCGAGAGGAATGGAACTCTAATGCAGAAAAAAAATAAAATAGAGAACTGCGTGAAAAGGAAATCTGGCGTACGAAGGAACTGCGCGCGTATGCCTGTGTGTACGTGTGTCTCTGTGTGTGTGAATCGTGTTCGTATCTGCAAATGTGGGTGGATGGAAAGATTTTCGGATGGGCGTTCCCTCAATGGGAGCTTTCGTGACGGAAAGATTTCGAGGCTCTCTCTCATTCGCATTATCTTCGTTCGGTTCGGTATCTCCGTCTGCCGAATCGCGCGTCGCCATTCTCATTCGTGTGTAACCATTCGCGGACAATTAAGATTACTGGTAGCAAGCGGTAGTTGGAAGAAAACGAAAACACCCGACCGAGCTAAACGACGCGGACGATCGTCCCTTTCCTTCCGAATCGCGCGGCATTCGTCCGAGAGAAGGACCGAGATATTTCAGCCTGCGATTTTTTTTTCTTCACACGAGGAAAGTACACTCACCGAACCTCACCGATTACACCCTCGCCGATAACGGTCGAGGTGTTTGAGAAATACTCGTATAAAAACGGTTCGACGTATCTCGAGATATTTCCTGCTCGAAGTGGCTCTTATTGTCATAAGAGGTAATTTTCTACCAAAATTTCGATCGTCTAAAAAGGTCCCGCGAGAATTCGCGAAGTTCCAGGTGATACAATATTGCAATTGGAAATCGTTCTGGGATTTTGCCGTCCGGTCTTTAGAAAACTCTTGAAATCCCTCCTCGGTCGAGATAGCTGGAGAGACACTTTCTCGTGAGAAATAGTCGAGAGTCGTTCGATATCGTCCCGAGCTTCGAACGCGCTATCTCTCTCCTCCTCCGTTCTAACTCTCGTCCGGCCGTTTCGCTCGAGTCTTTCCCATTGTCTTTATAGCAATCTAAACACATATTACTTGCCTTACGAACAAACGAATAAATGAAAAGAAAAGAAGAGAAAGAAGAGCTCTCTCTCGGAAATCTACCTCGTGAGTTACCTGTTTCTCTTCCGTGTTTCCGCGTCGCTCGCTTTACCATATACATATATATATTTATATACTGTTCTCCTTAATAGCATTTTTTTTAACGCGCTTACATTCAAATAGACTTTTATTAGAGTTACACAGTTAATAATTTGCAATTAATCCTGATTCGCTGCGTGTATCGTGCGTTCGCCCGTTTATCTTCTCGTTCACCCGTTTATATACTCTCACTCTCTCACTCTCTCTCTTTCCCTATTTTTGTTTCTCTCTTCTTCTACGATAACCACGATTTTTCTTTCTTATGTGAGGAATTGTTCTCGTTCTCGCTTGCCAATGCTCGCTCACGCGCGCGTTTCGCCTCGATCCTCGGTCTCGTTTATTTCCCTCTTTCTTTCTTTCGGTCGCGCTATCGATCGGTACGATTGCGACGGCGGAGTCGCAGAATGCGACGCCGCGAGCCGACGGCGGAATTTCCACGGTAATCGTAGGGCTCGTTAGAAAACGATCGACTTTAGCTCACTGCCGCCGCCATTCCGTAATGACCGCGCGTCGCGCAATTTCGAACAGGTACAGGCAGGCAGGTAAACGCGCGCTGGTATCACCTGCGAGGTGTACCGGAGGCTTTTTGGAAGTGCCGGGATAAATTTTCGAATCGTCTCGCGTCACACTCTCCCGCTGCTCGAGGTAGGATCGACCGAGGTACGAGGCTTGACAGGCGCGTCAACGTTACAAAATAAAAGAAAAAGACGCGCGTACATTCGTGTTTCTCCTGAATCTCTCCTCTTCCTGTTTTTTTTTTGTTTTCTTTCGCTGTTGCTGAACGCGCGACGACGACGCTTTCGTCCATATCCGGTCCCGCAGTCGTCGCGGCGTTTTACATTAAACGTTTATTCTCTCTTCGTGTTTTTCTTTCTTTTTTTTTCCCTTTTTAAAAGATGAAAAATGAGACAAAGAACAACACAACGGCATCTCTACTATTTCCCGTCCTCTATTTTAACGCTAATATGTAAGGACAAAAAACTAACAGATTTCGGCGTAATAACAAATCGCCGTGAACCGGGACGGCCGCCGAGGGAGTCCCGGGGTGAGAAAATCGGCCGGTTCTCCGGGCTTCCCGGCCGCATGGCGCGACGATGGACGTCCCTTTCCGGGTCCGTTTTCTCGCGCAAAAAGCCGGGATTCTCTCGGGCCGATCGGTCACGGCGAAATATAACAGGTTGTCGGCTCTGACGACCGTCGCTACGGATTCCCGAGGGATTCCCCTTCATTCTCGATCGCGATTCTACATCGTTACTACGATTACGCTTGTAGTGTCCTTAGAAGTATCCTTATTTCGAGTCAATCCCGAGCGCTGTTCGCTCCCTTTGCGGAAAAATCACGACATCGTCGTTACCCCCTCCCTCCGTCTCTTCGGGCAGAGGAAGGATTTCCGAGATAAAAGTTTCCGCGGTCCTTCCCTCCCCGAAGAGACGCGAGGAATCTTCATCTTATTATAAAAATGCCCGGAACTATGCGGAGTAGCGAATATCCGGAGAATCGACGCCGCCGCCTGCCGAGGTGAGCGCGAGGGACTCTGTTGGCAGTGATGTTTCTCC